TTAATACACAACCTTGAACTGTGTTTAGTGTGTGTGTTTATTGTTTCTACACTGTGAAACAGTCCCTGGAAAAATTGTCCATAAGTTACAAGTAACAAAGTACATACATATTCTGAGTTATTTGAAGTAATATAATTTCTGGGAAAACTCCTATTGATGTTTTAAAGGTGAGGATCATACTGAACCCTAGACAAGGTTTTTTACATTGGAATGTCTCTTTTGCCAATTTGTTTTTTTTTTTTAGGTTAGAGGGGTATGCACCAAGTAGCTATTCCCTTACTATAACGAGCCGGGTGGCAAAAGGGTTACACAAAAGATTTACAGCAGGTCAACCTCATCGTCAGTGAGCATCCATGGACCTGTCCCCTCTTCACCATCTGTCCTTCCTTAGCCGCTGTTGTCTTGCTGCCTTATAAACCCCGCCCACTGACAGGTGGCTGTAACGACCTCATCAGTGTGATTCACTTCACCTGTCAGTGGTCACAATCTTATGACTGATCGGTGGAAATGTCAATAGTCAGAATTCCTATTGGTAACTGTGAGTTCTACTGCAATTTGCAGCATTCTATCTGCATTATTTTCCTACCAACATACATACTTTTTGCATAATGGTATTTATTTGGTAACAAAGGGAATGTGTTAGGTTAACGTGTAGTTTTTGTGAAATTGGTCCTTATTAAAATGCACATTTATGTAAATTCCTATCAGACCATATACTCTATAAGCAGAGTTTCTGCTTTGAATTATTCCAGACTTATTGTGTTCAAGAGCATGTCTATTGCAGAGTCACGACAGCAGCATGAACATATTGTCCCATCTACGCTACCGTAGTAACGAACATAAAAAGACATTATGAAATAAAAACAGACTTTTGAAATAATAATGTCCATAATCACAATAAAGATAACCCCTAAAAACTCTAAGTAATGATGAAATACCATTTCAAAATAATGACTTAAGTTTTAATATTTCTTGAATGATTTCACAAATTGTCTGTGCAAGTATATATTTTACACAATTTATTCATTATTAATTTCAATGCTGTTTTTATTTATTATTTAACACTTTGGGTTTCCATAACAGTCTTTAAATCTGAACTGTTCTACTATGGGGCCAAATAACAGTCAAACATCTAATGTGAATACTGAGCTTCTATAGGAATGCTCATCCATTCTTTGGCACTTTGTGTTTTTCATAGGAGACAAGATTGTATACCAAATATAATGTCAGTATAATGCCAGTGCGAATCAATCTTTGTTATGAGAAAATTTAAGAAATTGTCAAAAGTTGCCTTAAGGTGTGTAAAACAGACTTTATTTATATTTGATAGAAGGTACAGAAAGTAATGATCAGTTCAGGGTGGGGGCACATATTACTCACAGTCTTCCAGACCAAAACTTCTCCTACATGTTTTTAGCAGTCGAGGCCAAAGCTGATGTCATGTCCTTCCTCATTTTATTAATCAACACAAACTGTACCTGCCTCTGGACCACAACTCAACATCTCTTTGGCAACAACAAACATAAGAGATATAGTTTTTAAGTCTCCCCTCTTTCACAGGTACAGTACATCAATACTCTTAAAAGTATATTTTAGAAATACAAAAATATTATGGACAGTCTAGATGGCTCTACGCTAAACTCAGAGAATATTAAAGCCCTGAAAGGCAAACACTTAGAAGACACTACATGTCGATCATGTTGTGAAAGATGCCAACCTGCTTCTTCGGATTCTGTAGCTTTGAAACAGCAGCCAAACCAACAACTCGGCAAAACGTTTCATGATCGTAACAACAGCCACCTATCACCTTGTTGAACTAGCTGATCAGACCAAGAATAAATAAAAATGTATGCAAAGAAACAATAAATATAAAAAAATCAGACAACTGAACAGATCTGTCTCAGCTAAAAGCATCAACAGATTTGTTTTGAATTTTTCATTAGCTTTCACCGGCTATGCACCATCATTTTCTTACTGTTTCGCAGTGGTGCTCAAACTTGTCTTCCTTTTTAAGAAATAAGACAAAGTATAATTAATAAAAAAAAAACATTTCCCCCAACACTTCAGCTTCTAATACCAGAATCATATCTCCAGACAAGCCAGATGAAGCCATTGTACAATAAGTGACAGTCAGCCATCGTCATTTCTCTTACAAACACAAAAAAATGGTAGAAATGGGCTGAAGTCGGGCAATACTGGATGTATAATGTGCTGATTTACATATAAAAAAATCGCATTTGTTCAGACTAGTCCCTGTGCAGACTCAAATAGCCTTTTAATACTGTTGTGCAGGCATGTATTTTGATATACTGACCTGTGGGGCAGTATTATGATACACACAGTACAAATGCTCACAAAGTATTTGTACTGAGGTATTTATTCCTGTAACATCTCTGGTAGTAATAGTTGTGGATATTTTTGCAAATCGGGTGCATTTCTGCTTTCTGGCAATATTGGATTTACAGGATTATAAGAGGTGTATGTATCTAGATATCATTACCACTAGATAAGAAGTATACTGTGGTGAAAGTTTCATTTTTTGGTTCATGTCTTCATTGAATAACTAGTGCCTTTACGTAGCAGTCCAAATGCTGAATACCTTCTCTGGCTGCCAGTTTGTTTTGGATTTGTAACATGAAATTGCAGTTCCATCACCATGTGTGCCTGTCCCTGCTCCAAGACGGGAAACAAAACTTTCCCCATTTGTCTCCAAGCAAAAGTCTTATCGATATGTTTTTGTAGTTAATTGAAACCATGCATTTCTCTATTTGAAAAACCAGTTAAACCTTTAAATCTGATGTTACTTATGTCATTATTTGTCACCACAGTGACAATGTTGTGCCTGATGTTTACAACACAAGGGCTGGTAGTGATGGCGGTGCTGGCACTCGTGTAGTATTCCTGATAGGAAAAAAAGTTAAATATCCAGGTTGTCCAGATATGATCAGCAAAACAATCTGTAACAAGACATTAGCCGTTTGAATTCCCTTTTCTTCCTTCTTTGACACTACCATGTTCTTTGTCTCTGAATGAATGTAAATGTTAATATTATATTACTTGTGATATATTCTTGTTGATAGTCATTAAGACAAGTTTTATTCTAAAAAGTACAAAGTCTGTGGAGCTGTACAGTCTTGTTCAAAGTGCTGATGATTGACAGTGTCTTTTACCCAGTGAAAGTTTGCAGACTAGTTTAACTGTCCTGTTTCTATGTCCACGTGGCTCCACACTGTCATGATCACCCCAACACAAAGAAGTGGACGCGGTGATAGTGATGCTTTCCAGAGGTATGTCTCCACCATTTTCTCTTTAATCTGAAAAATAGAATTCAACATACTCATCTCCCGTGCTTTCACTGATTCTTTACATCAGACATACAGTATATATTAATATTCTGTTAATGTTGTATATTAACTCTACTTGTCTTTTTATTCTAAACAGCTTAGGTCAGTCCTACACCGTGGTAATACGGCCCTTCCAAAAGTGTCCACAGGCAGTAAGAGGCACGGTCTTGTGTTTCTAAAACCTGATAAAAAACAAAACTCCGAAGTCATGCTAGTGGGCCAAGTCGTTGTCAGAGAGGCAGTAGATATCCACAGCTCCTTACTCCTTGTCCCCATCCTCGCTGCTCCCTGAAAAAGACAGAATGAGACATGAGGATTTGCACATTCTCTTTACAGGCATCATCATCATCCAAAATACTTGCCGATTTTTAGGCGAATGTATTTCCTCATTAATATTGTACATTTTACTGTATCTCAGTCTGTGGCAGCCAACAAATGTCATCTTTAACGGGCCAGTTTCCCAGACTGGGATCAAGTCTATTACAAGAATAAAGCAGCCTATTAGTAACATATAAGCTAAAACATCCATACACAATTTGGAAGAGTTCTACACTTAGATCAGAGTCACACCGAGTGTTTAGGTTTAGATATTGTTTGTATGTATTATTATTTGGAATATTTAAAAGATGAACAGCAAACATTACGATCTTTCATGATGACTTGATGTTCAGAGTAAAAGCTATCAGACTCATTTGTTGCTCTGATGTTTTCCAGCTTTAGTAGCTTTGAGTCTAAACGTTTCTCTGAATCTCTGATCCTCACACTGTTTTTAAAATCGGAACAGCTGTGACAAATCTGAAATCAAGTCAAGATTTTTATTTGCCATGTATAAACAGACAGTCTAGGCATATAGGAATTCTTGTGCAGCTCGCCTTTGGAGTCAGGTAAGGAGTCAAAAGCCAGAAAGAACATTTAGTCTTAAAATAAAAAAACTTACATAAAGGCGACAAAGCAATAAACTGCAATACACAAAAATAGAGTAATAGTATTTTCCCCAGTGAACTTCAAACATCGCACTTAGTAATTCACATGGTGGAGTTGGATATGCCATTACGCTTGGTGAGGTAGTGAGGGGTTATAACATACTAACACACAGTTTATATTCAGGCCTGTTTCCATTGCTTGGTAGAGAATGTCCTGCTATTGTCCTGCTATTACTCAGGTCCCACAAGAGAACACTATTGATGACATGCTGTTACACAAATACCTTGTGGAACGTTTCTGTGTTATTATTATTGCGCATGTCTAGTAAGGGGTTATTGCACATATATTCTCACATTTTTGTATTTGCCATCAGTCTTACTGCGGCAGGGAAAAGCTGTTGTAAAGTCTTGTTCTGTGTGTGATGATACTGTCTGCCCTGCTGTGTGTGCAGTTAAATATAATCCATCCATCCATTATCCATACTGCTTAATCCCAAACGGGGTCGCGGGGGGCTGGAACCAATCCCAGCCGACATCGGGCGAGAGGCGGGGTACACCCTGGACAGGACGCCAGTTTATCACAGGGCTGACGCAGACAAACAACCACACACACTCACTCACACAGTCACTCACTCACCCCTACGGGCAATTTAGAGACACCAATCAATCTAAGCCACATGTTTTTGGACTGCGGGAAGAAGCCGGAGCACCCGTGCAAGGGTCACCCATGGGGAGAACATACAAACTCCGCACAGAAAGGTTGTGAACCCGGAACCTTCTTGCTATGAGGCAGTGGCGCTAACCATCGCTCCACCGTGCCGCCCCTGAAATATGATTTTCATGATCATATCCAGAAAACAAGTTGGGTTTTTTTTGTCTGTTTAAAATAAGTCTCATCCCTAATCAATTCATTTATTAAGTTGTGAGGACAGATAAGCTGTTTTCCGTAGGTGACCCACCTCCTTCAGAGTCAGAGATGTGGGTGATGGAGAAACGGGACACGCTGGATGGGGAGACAGTGAACCGGGAGAACTGCACGGCTGGTTTGGCGTCCGGGGCCTTGGTGACAGAGCGAGGAGGGGAGTCGGATGGCCCCGAGGATGTTGGTAGGGGGAGCAGGGAGAAGTCATCCTCCCACTCATACCCTGCACCTGAGGGAAGCAGTAAGCACACTGTTTGATATCTGTTTTCTAGATACTAATACAAGCACACTAATTACATCTGTAATTCAATCTTGTACTCACTCTCTTCTGAGATGTTCCCATCTGAAGAGTCATCGGAGGCATTAACCTTGTCTGATTTGCTATGTGAACTCTGACCCTCTGTTCCCAAAGGGAAGCCATGCTCAGCCAGCTCTTTAGTTGGGCTCTCCTGGTGGTTGTTAAATTTACAGGAAGAAAAGAATAAAGCATTTTAAGATTAATCTAACCACATTTGGGAAGGTGAATTAGTAAAAGATACGTGTAAGTCTAGTAGAAGCATTGAGTTATATGTGCATAACAGGACTGTTAAATTGAAGTAAACTAGCACAGGGGGATGGGCTTGTTCACAAATGACTGATCCACAATAGCATTAGCAAGCTAACATGAGGTTAATGAGGCTGGTTTGTTAGAAAGGTAGTAGAAGTTTGAGCGTGTTATTTGAAATGTTTGATGGCTAGGATAGCATGTTAATAACAGATAGCTAGCAGTTAGCTGTAAGTTACTGGTTGTTGTTCGCTAGCAGTAGCCCTGATTGATGGGTTTGATAGAGTATTGAGTAGACACTGATGGTGGATGATGTTGGTGATTGCTGTCACTGATACAGTTCTTGATTCAGTGGAGTCATTACTGATGTAGCCTTGTTCTGATCGACAGTCGTGGTAGAACAGTGTCAGTGGTTGGACAACTGAGTGGACCCGGCTCTCAGAGGCGACTACCAGCCAGTCAGACCAGCCACTGCTTAACCTGAGCAAATGTAATGCAGAAGCTGTTGGTCAAGCCACATATCTGCTTTTTGTTTGGGTAAGGAGAGGGTTCAGGATGCCTTGTGTTAAGGGCAGGTTAGGCCTGGATAATGGTGCTGCTTATTGTGGGGCTCTGAAGCTGTGTGATGGCCTGGCCTGACACTCCCCTCTCTGTGGCCAAATAATGGGTAAACATCATTTAACATGTATATTGAGTTTCCATAGGAATGCTCTCCTGTTCTTTGGCACATTTAATTGGGTATTGTCAACAACTGTGGCTTATAGCGGATGTACTAACAAGCTGCCTACTTGTACATTCAACAAGATTAAATCCAAAATAACATTAATTGTGAGTCATGTTTACTCCAGTATTTATTTTCCATTTGCTGTCGGGCAGGGAGTGCAGACTGGGTTTATCAAAGCATTTTCTGTTATAAATTGTTGCCTACTGGGGATTAATTGGAGTGACCTTGAGTGAAAATTGATTGATTTTCATCTTCACTCACCTGATCAAAGAGATAGACGGTGACATCATCAAAAAAAGACACATTCTTCTTCTTGCGGTCAAGTTGATCCTCCAGGTTTTCAACTGTGAGCAGGACTGGCATCTTCAAGAGGCTGCGCAGTTTGTGGGCTTCACTGTTGTCGCTCACCACAATGGGCACCAGGTGGCACTCATCCTCGCTCTCCTCTTCCCCACTCGGTTCTTGCACACTATAGGATCGCAGCTCCTCATCTGACTCGTCACTGTCGTCAGTGTCACCACCTTCCTCGTCAGCCTCTTCCCCATCAGCCGGAGACCCTCGGCCCACTGTCTCAGGGAGCAGAGGGTTGGGTGGAGGTGGAGAAGAGGAGAAAGAAAATCGCCTGGCTGCCATGTGCTGCAAGGCCACCTCATCTTTGGGTAAACTGTGCGGGATCTCGCTAGATATCCCTGAAGGCCTGTTTTGAATAGCCTTGATCACTGACTCTTCTGTTGCCTCTAAAGCCTGTACAGAGTCTTCCCTGTCCTCTGCTTCCTCCTCCTCTAATTTGATGGAGGTACAGTCTCCATTCAGTGCACCGAGGGCTTCTTCCATGGCCCCCACCACCTCTGCTGCCCAATCTCCCAAGGATGAGCTCTCTTCCTGGGATGGCCATTCATCCAGTCCTCCTTCCATTATTGAAGCAGTGTCAGAAGACTCCAGAAGTAGCCCCAGTTCCTCATCCTGGTAGCTACACTCCTCTGTCAAGCATGCTTCTGTCTCTGGGGGAGAAAAGGATTCTGTTCCTCCTGTCAGTGTCTTTTTATTTTCAAGTTTTATGTCTTTGTTTGCTACATTGTCCTTTACTTCTTCCTCTTCTTCACTCTTCCTTTTCTCACCCTTCTTTTCTCCCATTTGCTGTTCCTCTTCAACATTTGGTTCATCTATAACTCGCTCTGACAGCTCTTGCCCTTCGTCCCTTGACTGCCTTTCATTCTCATAGTCTGAAAAGTAGGCAGAGTCTCTGTATGGGGTGTTATCACTCAATGGCAAAAGGATGTGGTCGCCTGTCTGCGAGGTTTCTGAGACCAAATCTTCACCCACTGGTGGTTCACCTTCTGTGGGCACCACTTCAGTTTCAACTCCATCATCCCCCAGGCCTCTGTCTTGTTGCTTTCCCAGAGGTTGTTCACGGGGTTCGTGAGGCTCTTTGGGTACAAACTCAGGGCTCTCATTATTTTCTGTGTCATAGCCACTGTCCATAGCTTTTGGTGAACTAGCAGGGTGTGATGATGCAGGGCTGAATCCTTCGCAAGGCCCGGCTGCAGATGGTAGATCCATAGAATCCATGGAATCAGGGGTTCCTACCTGCTTCTGTAGTGACTTGAAGGCAGGAGAAGCATTCAGCTCGCTGGCCTCATCGGCAAAGATGCCCGAGGTAACGTCGGTGATATCATCTGTGATGTCATCATCCTCCTCCTCATCATCATCACTGCAGTCGAGGATGTCAGCGAGGCTAACACTGGAGCCGCCTTGGTCAACCCCGCTGTCGCCAGTGTGACTTAACTCTGACTGCGGATCTGTGAGGGCCACCATCATGTGCATGTTGTCAGGAGGAGGTGGAGTGGCTTTAGTCATTGTCAGGGTCACCTCTTCTATTTTTGGCTCTGGCGGTTTTTGCATGATTAGATTTTCCTTGATTACTTCCTGCATCTTCTCTTTGAAGGGGGTATCATCAATTGTAAGGTCAACGTACCGTTCTCCACTGTCCTCAGTCTTTATAAAGGTAGGTTTGGACACAATGGGACCCCCTGGAGCCGGTGACAGATTGATCATCTCCTCATTACTGGGGATGTCAGTGAGCTTATCTCTGGTGTAGCTACTGTGACTGCAGCTGTGACTATAGCTGTTGTTTCTGATTAGCAAGCCAGTGAGTGGATCTATAAAGTGTGAGTGGCAGCACTCTCCAGATGCTGGCGCTTGTGTCTCAGCCTCATGGCACAAGTAGATGTAGGTGTTGCAGTTGTCTGAAGGCACCATTGTGTGGTGGTTACTCAGATTAAGACAGGCACTATTGTCTTTGGCCTGGTGGTGCTCGAGATAGTCGGTGTGTTTGGGTAGAGAGTGGAAGGCCAGGCTGTGCTGCTCTGGCCAGGAGTCTTCTATGTCTGTACTTGGCATTGTGTAGTGGAAATCTACATAAGCATCCTGTCTGCAGCTGTGGCTTGCTCGTCTGTGGTGACCCACACTGCTGTGGTGGTGCTTTGATGGCCAAGTGTTGCAGGTATGTCTCTCAATAAATATGTCCTCCTCCTCTTCCTCCTCTGTATCACTGTCTCTGTGCCCCATGAAGAGCGCCCCCTCTGTCTCCATGTCGATATGGATGGAGTGGCTGCTGTGGCTTGGCATAGTTTTCCTCAGGGAGCCCATCATATCGTAGTAGCCCCCACTTATGTTCTTTCCTATGATGGAGGTTTGACTTGTGTCCAGATATGAATCTCTGTAGGCCTGCTGAGGTGGACTGCTTACAGAGGGAGATATACCGAGTGGGTTCTCCAGTTCACCCAAGGCCTGACGCAAGCTCCTTGACCCCCAACTTTCCTGATGATGCTCACTAGAGTGCTCCCCTCCAATCAGATAGTGATCTATTCCCAAAGGTGGTGAATGCTCATAGTAGTAGCCCCCATCTCTGTCTTTATATGACACGTAGTGACTGGACTTCCAGGGTTGTAGGGGGCTGCTGTCTGACACTTGCCCTAAAAGTGGCTCCATTGTCAGCGAAATGGCAGGACTTGAGTCATTGGAGTCGTATGCATCTGACTTATGGATGTCTGCTGACCAATAGGGACCCATGGTTTTAGCCTTGGATGGGCAGGCCATGCACTCACCTGAGTCTGCACTCCCAGTAAGGAAGCTCCCACTGCTGCCCTGGTAGTCTGGGCTATAGGAGCACATGGTATAGTCCTGATCAATGTTACAGTCCATTGGCTCCTCAATGCGGATGTAGTATTCACTGCTTACTGAGGGGCTATGGGCACTGAGGACAGGAAGTAGGCCCGGAGCATGTAGATGTTTTGGTTGATAGTAAGAAGGAGAAATTCCATGGCTGAGGCTCTCCAAGGGGCAGCCTCCACCAATGCCCCCTGGTGGGTAAAAAGCTTCCTGACAGTGATGGCTGACCTGCCCCATGGTACTGGAGGAGTCCGGTACTCTGTACGACTGGTCTGCCCTGGCATGCTCCCACTTGTACTCAAAGTTCAGGCCATGGCTGGTCTCAGTGACTGTTAGTATGTCATCCCCGGACTCTGAGTGGTAGCCATCACTTGTTGAAAACTGCTCCAGGAGAGGAAACGAGGAGGTGGTTGATGAGGTGTGGTCTCGTGACACTGCAGAGTCACTACGGTGGTTGGTGAATCCATTATTGGGGCGCATGGAGTTCCAGCGCCGCTCAAAGTCCTCCTCTGCCTCACTGGCCCCCTTGGCACACAGATAGCTGAGCAACAAGTGGACTTCCTCTGCATTGGGTCTCTGATCAGGCTGGAGCCAGCAGAACTGCATCACCTCATACCTGAGGAGCCCCAGGATGAGACAAATTGGTCATAGAGAAAACTAAATATAGGACAGCATGCAATTCCACTTTCTGATGCAATACATTTATTGTGCCCCACTCCAGTCAAAAAACTTCCCCCGTACAGGGAAGGAAAACTGGCAGGATTAATGTATTAATTAGCATCTGTGGAAGAAATGAGAAGCTACTCATGCTGGAAGGGATTTAATTATGCTGCTTTGAATGATGTTTTTTTGTTTGCCCTGCTCCCAGGGGGCCATTAAATAGTTGTTTCTAAATGGCTGTGTGTGTCTCACCAGCGCTCAGCCAAGGGCACATTGAGCAGCGGTTTGGGCAGTCGCAGCTGCTGCTCCCTCACAGCGTAGGTCAGTACTTGTCTGTCGGAGTAGTGTCTGTAGGGCTGGTTGCCCAGCTCGAATAGCTCCCAGATAGTCACGCCCAGAGACCTGAGACACAGGATAATGTGAACAGGCTTCATTCCCAATACACACAAATACTTATAGCCCCACTTTAGTTGTTTTGTTTTCATCATGTTTTCACTCACTGCCAGAGGGTTAGACGGATTTCCTGTTGACAAAGTTTTCTCTGTCCTGTTGGGTTTTGACTTGCTTGGACTCTTCACCGAGCTCACATATTAGTTAAAGACATTTCCCCAAGTGAGAAAACTAATGTTTTCTGTGTTTTGTTAGTGTTTGCCATTTTCCTGGTGTGTCTTTCCCAACTTCACGCTTTTGCTCGTGACCTTTTCTGCACATAGTGTGGATAGATCATAATTTAATGCAAGATTGGCTTCATTCAAAAGAAAATGCCTTTTTACAATATTTGCTAAGCAAACAGTTGCTTATTCTTCTACACCACAGTCTATGAGCACTAACACAAGGTAAATTGTCCTTTTCTAATATAAACCATTCAGAAACTATGCTGTATACTATGAATCTTGTTTAGATATGTTTCCAAGAGCGGCTAACCTAATGTATATGCAATTGTGTACATAATTTACACATCTTTCCATAGACGTGTGGACACATTTTAGTTCTGTGCCATTGTTGTGAGGACACTTTGGCTAGTTCTCACAACTTCAAAGGGCTGTTTAAAGCTCCAGTATGTAACGTAAGGCAGCATGGACCTCCAAACCATTGCACTCTGCTCTGCGCAGCGCCCCCCTCCCTGCTCCACTACGCTCCGACACTCACTGCCCAGCTCTGCAGATATTAGTTATGAAATTACAATAAGTGAGAAAGCAACAAAACTGACTGCACCTCTCCACATTCAGACATGTTCTGGAGCAGATTTCTACAGCAACATTTGGAAAAGAAGCTACACATTGTAGCTTTAAGGGTTAAGTTAGTTAGGTTACAGCAAGGTTCTCAGGAATGTGATATGTTTAAGAATGTTTTCACAACTACAGTAAACTTAGCACGTAATGCATGTGTGTGCCTTTCATCCTACCAGATGTTGCTCTGTTGGGTCTGATCCGCCACCAGCAGGTTTCCATGCACCTCATCCACCACCTCTGGAGCGATCCAGCGCAGTGGCACATACATTTGATCCGACGTCACATAGTAATCATCCTAATGGGGGGGCATGATATGTGAGGACAGAGGCCTTAACTCACAAAGTTTTACTTCTCCAAAATGTGCCTGCAGGGCAGTTAATCATCTTCATCTTAGAGTTAATTAGTTTAGATGGGCTCAGGGAAATGAAATTATCTGTAGAAACTCACTTGGCAACTCACTAACAACCTCACTTATTTTTTTGTCTCTCATCCAGTCACCGTTTGCCTATTTGCCCTCTAGTGGTTGTTACTTGGCATGGTGAAGTCTAGAGCCAGCAAACTGCACCAGAAGCACTTTCTTCTGTTTTCTGCTTCTTTTTCAGCCAAATACCCCGGACAAATAAAATGATTTGCTTGCAAAGTAAAACTGTTCGTGTGCATGTTTTTTCTGATGAACCTTACCTTATACATGGTGTGGGACAGGCCATAATCTCCGATCTTCACTGAGACATCAGCAGTCAACAGGCAGTTCCTCAGAGCCAGGTCACTGGTGGGGGTGGGAGGGTTAAGACAGTACAGCTCTTACATATCTTCATTATTTATAAACATACTAAACAAGACCAGAACAATGCAGGAAGGTCACATTTCTTCATGCACAAATGTATTTTGAAGCCCTGTATTAAAACACTGACTGATACTAAGATGGAATAATGAATCTTAGTTCCTCTCGTTCACCTTTGCTAACTTTGTAAACACATAACATCTGCTCCGATCCCTGAAAATGATGCTGCAGACCGAGTGGAGCTTTGCATATTTCTGGAGATGAGGAGTGGCCGCCTGCAACAAAATCACTGATGCTGGAGTCTGTATGGAGCACTCGAGCAGCACCAGGATATTGTTCCAGGAAGCAACGAAGAAGCCAGAGGAGGACTTCACCGATCATACTGTAGCTTAACTGGTGTTGCAGTTTTGATGTGATATTTAACAAGAGAAATGTCTTGCTACCTGTGTGTGAAGTTATGTTTGTGCAGGTGCAGGAGTCCTGAGGCAATGTCACAGGCCATCTGCTGAAGAATCAAGGGCTCTGGCGTCATGGTTTCTGCAGTCCTGCAGCTTCTGAGGTAACCCTTCATATCCCCCTGGAAGCAGCAGAGAGGAATACAACATCCGTCTGTTACAGCCTCTAACCACCAGAGGGCAGTGTTGGCATTGTACTGTAGAATACAATTCTGAATAGTCCCACACTTTTGTCCATTCATATAAATCTGGAGGATCTAGGGTCCAGCATGGGCCTACAGCGGATAAACAAACACATCTGGTTTAATGGAAATTAGGATTTATTTTGTGATGAACAGACCCATTGGCCCACCAGAGCTTTTTTTTCCATCAGTGCTGGTAGGTCAACTTAAAAAGGTCTGAAATTAATTTTTCATCAATTACTACCAATTTCCTTCAGTCACACTGTGGAGTTTATGAAGAATTGATAGTGAAGTGGCAGGAAGCCAGTTCTTTGTTTTTTGATTACATCAGTATCACCACAAAATTATATTGAATGAAACAGTCCTGTGGAGCTGCTGTTGGATTTCACTCTGCAGTTTGAGTGCTACAAATGGATCATGATTTATCGGTCACTTTGGACTCGGCTGCCAAATACTTACAGCAGCTGCCAAGAATATTTTTGACAAAAGTAAATAAAAAAAGATCCCATGAGTTACACATTACTACAATTTAGTTTAATGTTTGAAATTATTATAGGATATAATGCAGACTTTTAATAGAAAGTGCAGGTCAAAACCTTGATGGGATTATTTATAAACTATATGCTGTAGAAATCATAAAAATTAAAACACTTGGCAGCTAAGCGTCAGTATTTTTATTAAAGCAAGTTCAATGAATTGTGATTCTGGCAGCATTCCTCTTAGATTCATCCAATTGTTGGTGTTTACCTCAGATATTTAATCCTAATTGATATTTGCTGATTCGTTCAGTAAGCCCTGCTCCCTGCACCTGGCCTGTGGGTTTGGATACTCACCAGTGGACAAAACTCCATCACCAGCAGGTAGGGAGTGACCTCAGTGCACTGGGCCAAACACTGCAGCAGGGCCGGGTGCTGGAGGGCACTGGACAGCGGAGAGGGAGTAGGAGATCACAGCACAGCAGTGACAACACTAACACTGACACTACATGTAAGAGTCCTGCAGAGAATTTCTACTGAACTTAAAGGAAACAGACATAATGGCAAATGTGCCCATGTTAGTGAAAACACTTCGTTTCTGAACAAAAGTCTCATGTGTAATGGAACAAAGAATCAAACTGGAGACAGTGGAACTATGAAACAGGTTGAGAAAATGTTCTAAGACCCTTATACGTGTATTTAAATAACAGGTTTGCTCCTGAAAAGCTGATACTTTTACCCAGCAACAATAATAAGTATGAGCTTGACTTAGGCTTTGAAAGTAAAACCTGCAACAAGGTGACCAGTCACTCCAACTACTGGATACGTTTAGTGGAGTAGAAAATAAAGATATTCCTCATATAGTGGGTGAAAAGTCTCACCACCTCAAAACTGATAGTACAGTACTTCAGTAAATGTGTGAGTTACTTGACAGACAGAAAGGTGACTGAGGTGTGTACCGGTAAGGCTGCGCTTCCTCCAGGAAGTGCATCTGGTCCTGCACGCTGGCGCTGGCTTTGAGCTCCTTCACAACGACTTGGGTGGTATTAAGTCCTGTGTTCACCTCCCCCAGTAGAACCTGAAACATCCCAGAAAGACACACATAGGCACAGGGAAGACAGACAAACAAAGATGGAGGGAGAGTGACAATTACACAAAAGCAAGAAGACATGAAGCAGTCATGCAGAGTGCAGCAGTGGTGTGCGGACAAAAACACAGTGCAGAGACAGAAAAACGCAGACGAACATACAGATGGACATACCCAGCCAAGGCACACAGGGATGTGAAAGGACGGATGTGAACAGTATCAAAAGGATGAGAAACAGAGAGGGAGAGAGTGACAACAACATGTTATCTGGTTGTATGACTACAGTACCACATGATTCTGTCTGCAGTGGAGGACTATTACTGTAACCAGAATAAAGTTCCTTTTAAGGACTAAGCCTTTCACTCCGGGGACAAGCCGACATCAAAGGCATATGGCAGCCTGATCCGGCTGCTCTCACACCCCAGACAGTCCAGGCAACACAGCATGTCGGACTGAGTTCATTTTAAACAGCCAGGATCACAGTGAAGACTAACAGCCATGATGTGACTGCTGCGCTTCACCTGCCTGGCAGGTAGCTGCAGGACAGCAGGAGCTTCTGTTGGCTAGTTATGAAGAGTGGGCTGTCTGAAGTGGGCTTACCTTCCCGAACCAGCCCTTCCCGATCTCCTTCAGGTAGAGAAGACCGTGGCGGCTGAGATCTGTGGATTTCAGGAGCTGGACTGCAGAGAAAGAAGAGAAGTGATGGTGTTAGTGGTGAATGGTTCTCCACCAGCAACAGCCTCATACTGGTATCGTATGGTCTTTCACACAGGTACTGTTTTTGCATATTTTACACTATTTGCCACAAATCACATGCAGACCACACTGATGTGTTTCAGAAATGTAAATAAATGGGTCTCCCTGTTCCAGGCAGCCACTGGCTTCCCTTACTTTCCATATGACAATAATATCTGGTCACAGTCTCTCAAAACTTGCTTGAATTGTTTAATGTATATGACAAAACGACAAAACAGCCGAATATTAATGTTGATACCGAAGCAGCTTGCAGCGCCAACTGATGGATGGAAACAAATAAAGAACTATTAAAAACTAATTGTTACAGACAGTGTAAGACAATGAGGACATTACACCTAGTGCGCAGCCACAGTTATTTACAAACACACAAAAGAGGGTGCGGTGTGTCCTCAGTTATGTGGAGGTGAATCCTAGACCTCAGTAATTATAAGAATAAAACCTTCACAGTATGTATACTATAGGCCTACACATATAACAATAACATGGCAGAACGCACCCGATCCAGGTTCTTAAGTGGCCGGTGTAGACTCCATCCTCTGTCCGATCGATAGTTATTAACCTTTCCTAAAATAAAACCTCTGACTGTGCCAGTGGATGCTTCTCATGGTCTATGAGTAAACAAAGAGGCATCTCTGGCACCGATCTGTCTGACTGTCCTCCACCTCCCCGATGCAGCTCTCTCAGCATCCCCTGAGCCTTCCCTGCTTGCTGAACATGCCTGACCATCCTGCCACAGCTCAGCCAACAGGGCTGATGGCAACGACCCCTCCTCTGCCCCTTGCTCCCCTCGCCCCTCGCCATCTATCCCTTTCTTTCTCTTTGAGTCTCCCACGATGACACTTAAACTCTGGGCGTCGAGGCAGACAGACACATCTTTGTGATGCTGCGTCCTCCCTCCAGACTGCCACACAGTCCGGTCACTGTGCGGAGGCCATATTGGACACCCCCGTCTCCGTCCTCAGACTGGTCATTCCTTACACCCACTGACGCTCTCCTCATCCCAAAGCAGAATAACCACCATTGTCTGGCTGCTTAGGGCAGCGTGGCACCAGTTAGGACCGGTCAGTGTGCACACACTGGGGCTATTGTCCACCAGCTCTTTGACATAAGAATTAACAAGAAGGAGTTTTGGACATAGCACCAGCAGGCAATGGCTCCCACCTACGCCATCATGTTAAATATTCATAATAGTGAGAAACAGTAAGGAGAGGATGCTACAGTACACACTGGGAGGAAAAACCAGTCCTAAAAGCCTTCACCGTCACATTTGCTGTTTTTTAAAGCTACATCTTTGGCTTTGTATTTTTGCCTGTTTCTCTGCAAGCTGTCTAAAAACAACTTGCATGTGTCACTTAAATTTGGTGGACAGTTAGTTCATGGAGTAAGTGACACGTTTTCTGTACAGTACGTAAAGTAGTGTTTTAAAGATTCCTAAACGTTGCAATATAGGATGCTTACTTACTTTGTGTATTTTTCTATGACAACATGTAGGAGAATTGCAGCCTTAGTACGAGAACATACACCGAGTGCGTCCTAATTTTTATTTCAGTCACTGTGGCTGTACTGAAAATACCCTGACCACTCTGCTAAGTTCTCAGATCTCTTTAAAGCCAATTCGATTTCCATTTGACAGCACTGTCTAGCCTTTTCTGAGCTGTGTGCTGCTGAGCATCTTTCTGTAGAATGCATCTAGCCTAATCGCTATAGTAGCCAGGAAGTCTTCAGTGAGATGCACAGGGGCTAAATCACTCAGAGACAAATGGAATTCCCATTATCCTCTTCCAGCCCAGCGCATCCTGGTCCACTTTCTCTGCTGAGCTCCTCAGACAATCGTTTAAAGTCACTGATGATGGTTGCTTGTTGCTGAGTAACATGGCGAAGGTTTAGAGGTTAACGGATGTGAGTGGTTGTGTGACGTCATACAGCAGATTTGAGAGTTTGTCAGAAGGATGCATGGCTTTCATGCGTCTGCTCAGAGAGGGAGGCCATTTCAGCATAAAAACCTCTGCTCTGATTTCTCAAGTGTGTTTCCACACATCCCCTCTGAGTGGGTGTGAGCTCCATCGGCCTTTGCAGTGCAGCCTGCAGCACAGAACAGCTGTGTCAGGGCGGGTCCTGGGAACCGGGCCCTCGACTGAGCAGAGCTCTCACAGTATTGGTCTCATTAGGAACACCACTTATCCACATAGTCCTTCAGCAGCCTCAGTACACAGCAGGAAGACAGAGGAGACAGGAACACGGGCTGTTTCATCTCCACATCTACTGCAGCTCTCAGGAATCGTTAGCAATTTGAAATCTGAGACTCACACCTACCCTGAGTTAAAAGCAGCTTCAAGATCTGTTCATTCGGGAACTCATCACATTTATTTTATTTATGTTCCTTTGCATTATTTTCTTTGCCTCTGCTAATTTAGTGCTCTTCTCGTCTCCTTTCCTTCATTCTGTTGGTGCATGTTCAGCTCTTTGTTTTAATATTTTATCACCATGCAAAGCACTTTGAAATGCGTTCATATGAGGTGGTGCTGCACATGTCAACTTGAACTACAAAGGCTGCAGGAAAAAAAGAAAAATATCCAGATAAAAAGGCAAAAAATAAAGATGATAAATGTATGGCCAGCAGAGTACGATGGATCCATTTCTGTCACTCTTTTTCTTGTGGAAAATAGTGATGTCAGTGGGTGGGGCCGTCCTGAAGGAGCAGTAAAGAATCCCCGACCCCTGCCTCTACAAAGTGTGAAACTGTTTCACTGTGGTGTTCAGCCACACCGATAGTAACTGAGGTTTTGAGATGTCAGCATCTGCAAAAGTTCCTATTCTTGTTTCTTTAGATTGTCAGTGAAGTGGACACCACAAATAAAATTCCTTTAACCCTCCTTGGATTCAGGTGTCATGGCAGACCTCTTTGTTTGCTTCCTTAAAACTTCACCAAGTGAAACCAGACTTATCTGCATGCCTAGAAACTACTAGGAGTAAATTAGAAAGAAAATATCTTTTTCTTGTTGGTCTTTTGCTCTTTTTATAAACTGTACACTCTGTCTAACTAGTGTGGGCCAAATCGTATGGGTGTGCGCCTGAATCATTAAGTCTCCCCACACTCCAGTTTCATGAGTCCATCAGGCAGTGTCCGCCCATTAACACACAACAAGGACCATTGTCACATAGACACAGAAAGAGAGAAAGCAAGTGAAAGAGGGACCTTCTCACTGGGGTGTTGTGCTCTTGCATGCCTGACATACCAACAAGCAGCAGTGTAGGCTGGCTGCCTGGCCGTTATTATGCAACAGCCAGATGTTTGTGGGAGAGAGTCAAAGTTAAGGAGCACAGAGTTCATTCTCTAGGGACCTGCAGTGAGGGACTGTGGGATAGGTGGAGGCTTAGCTGATCGAGGCCAGCGTCAGGGTGGTGCTCCCCCCAGAGACAAACTATGACTAATATGCAGCCCTCCTCACTCTTCCATTAGGTCCCCACCCTTGCGTTTGTGAGGCTCTGGCACTTTTCCATAGACAGTTTGCAGCAAAGATGTGAATTACAAAGCACTGACAAAACCATCACGGTGATGTCATGACTGGATAGACCACACAGCCGTCTTATAGCTGACCCCTTTCAACAGCAAGAACAATGTCTAAATCTTTGTAGATGTAATGTGGGGATTTTTTTTTTTAAATCTTCTGAACATTCAGCTTTGGCTTTAAATCTCCCTTTATGAGTTTTTAAAAGATAAGGCCGGTCAAGTCAAGAATCTTTATTGTCATTATGCATAGCACAATGAAATTTGTGATCTTCTACAGTAACAGTGTTTCCAACACTCCCCATACAGAGACTAAAACCAACGATAATTTGCCTCTACTCATTGTTAATGTCTGTCAGTCCTGGGTCCGTGTGTGCCATAGACCTCTGCTGTTGTTCAAAAACGTCTAAAAGCACATCAGGGAAACACAACGCTGCACTGGGTGACACGCTTCTTCATTATAAAAAGCAAAACCTGAATATTTGCTGAGAATATACAGAGATCTCATGCATGGGCCAGTGACTCTTGCTTACTTCAGATGCTGGGAAGAGTTATAGCTGTTTGGAGCCTATGGGTTGTTTTAGTCTCTGTATGGGAAGTGTGAAAAATACTGACCAACCATTTCCTGTACAAGTCAAGACTCCACATATTATCATGGCTGCACTGTTGTAAACCTCAGCCTGATTTTCTCCCTTTAATAGTTTTCAGACTTAAATAGAATTTGACTTGTGCTTGGCTGCTGGTTTACAGCAGGAGGATTTGTCTGACTGAGGAGGTGAACTGCACTGAGCTGCAGCGACTCACCTGATCGAGCAGGCTGCTTGGCGACCGGCAGTGACATCTCAGTCAGCGGCAGGATGTAGACGTCAGGGCTGCCCTGGGAGGCCGGCGAGGCCAAGGTGGACATGTCTGCATGGTACTCCTCCCCGTCCACATTTTTGAATTCCTGGCAAACACAGGCCCATATACACAGAGGTTAAAGGTCATGCAAAAGAACAGGTCGCTAATTGGGAAAGTAGCTTCTCTACCTGTAAGGTCAAAAATGTAAATGATATGAAGATGCAGATGTGAAAACAAACCTGACGAGTACGCTGTAGTCATATGATGAGTGCACACTTCCTCTATATGTACTATGTAATATTTGGCCATATACATGTATGTAGATGAAGAACAGACAGAAAATGTAAACTTGATGATATTTTGGCCAGATCACTGAAACCAAGCTGAGATAATCTGAAGCAAGATGTCTCGGCCCGGCTGTTTGTGAGACCGTTGGAGCGTCCTGCTGTAAACACAGCCGGGCCGGTTTACCCAGAGATTATTTGCACTAAGATTACATGAATATTAATCCTCTACTTTACAATTAAGCCTGATGAGTTTAGGGCTGAGATGCTTTCTGGAAACACACCGAGCACAGACAGGACTCAGATTTAGTCATGTTTTCTTATTTTTCATATCAGAATTGACCACGTTAATCATCACGCAATAACGAGGAAAGCAGACAGGACTGCACTTCGGTAAAATGCCATATGATGCAGCTGTCAGCCTTGGAGGCCCCAGAGGGCTCCAGGCAGCGCAGGGATCAATACGTCTTCACAACTCTGAGTGGATAACAAAGACTTTGATTAATTTTGTTGCATGTTTTCTAAAACAAACAAACAAATCAATGGCACGCCTTCTGGCTCTTGAA